ACTGCAAAGTGTTGTGTTGGATATAGAAGCCAAAGCTTTTCAGAAGATTGGAGATAAGAAAAAAGGCAGGCTGACTTTGCTAAGATGCCGTATGCCTTTAGTTTTTCCTCCATGTGTGTTTTCAGGCATACATGTGTAACAAATGCCAAAGAATTATACAATGTAGAAAGTATTAATACAAAGGCAGGGACAACAGGAACTTCCTGAAGTCTTTAAACTAGCATATAGGAAGCCCTTTTAAGCTTTTATCAGAGTTTAAAAGAGAGAGAGAGTGGAGGAGGAGGGAAGCAAACATGATCTATTGTTAATTACCTGTAAAGTAGGGCTTTAGCCACTTCCCCTATTCCTAAGAGTTCTGAAGTGAAACCTGAATGAAGCCACCCATTGTTTTCTATTGTGCAAAAGCCAGAAGCAAATAGGGTTCATATTGCAGCTCTGAAAGGCAACAGGAAATTGGCGCACAGCTAATCTGACCTGAACTATTCATAGTAACAAAAGGCTATATTCCTGCTCAAGCATTCCCCATTACAAATCCAATGCTAAGCTGTTGGAAGGATTAACGAATAAATTTGTGGAAATAAAAGCTTTTTTCATTTAAAAAGTTTCAGAAACATGTACACCAGAGAGTAACATTAGGTAGATATGTGATATTGTTCCCAGGCACATTGTTTTTTTTTTTTTTTTAATGTCAAACTTGGAAACACTGACTTTTTTACACAGTAATCTAAAACTTTTGTATCTCATCACTCATACTGCTCTCAAGTAACCCAAATAACTCCACTTACATGTTATCAATTGTTGAACATAGGTAAAATGCTCCACGCCAACCTTCAGGGGCATGCAAGTAGAAGTACAGGGGAAACTGTTTGTCTTCTGTTATCTTAAGAAATTGTTTAGAAATGCTTATTATGGAACAATTCAGGGAACTAATATGCCAAGATGTATTATTTTACTTTTGATGCAGCGTGCCATTATACATAGTACTGAACACAAAAATATAGGATACATATTAGCTATTCAATTTATTCAGTGCCATGGTTTTGAAATTTACAGACTAGAGAACTCTGGTGTTTGACTTACTTATCCACTTCACTAAATGGCTGCATTCATATAGCATACTAAACTTGGTTAGCTTTTTTGTGAGTGCAGTGGAGTAGGGTGGCTTAATATGTTGTATAAGTCCAAGACACTTGGTTAGGCTTTAGTTTGATGCATTATGCAAAGTAAGACTAGGTTAAGTGTTGAACAGTTTAATAAGGAATTAATGCATTGAGCTCTACAAATGGAAAAATCTTTCAGAGATTGGCTTTTGGTTTTGCAAGAGGAGTAAGATATTATAGCAGGATTTCTCCTTTCCCTTACAATTTATTACTGTTCCAAAGCATTCACATACTTTCACCTAAGTGATGAAAACCTCAAATAACGGTTTTCATGAATGAAACTCAGGTGTCCCTTTCACAAATTGGAGTAAAATCAGGATTTCAGCCACTACATTTAGCAGTTCTGTCACTATTCATCATAATGGTTTTAATACATACTTTTAAGAAGTGCTGTATAAACATGTACGCAACCAAACTGCTTTGGATTTCAGTTTAATGTATCTGTAATTTCCAAAGTTTGGTATGTAATTTAATTCCCATAGCTATGCTACCCTGGTATTCCATCATACTTAATGTTTCTGTTCCAGTGTTCTTTGAGTCTATTTTCATATGCAAATATATATAATGAAAATTATGGAATGAAATTGAATTTTAAAATGTATTTAAAAGTGATCTAATAAGCACACTTTGTTTATGTGAATAAACACCATTTGCTATATGCCAATAATCATTATTACCAGACACATAGAAGCCAGGCTGCCATTGTAAGACTTTCATAGGCAGCGCAACTAGAGTAGATTTAAATTATAAACCCATTACTGAAAATTGTGCATGACTCACTTAAATATCTGACAGCTGTAGGAAATAACAAACATGGAGAATCCATAGTCTCAATTATTGCTGATTTAAAGTAAACAATATAACCACATCTTTGGAACTTCAGCTTTCAACTCACTAATTGATCAGCTTAATAATAGAGATAATTTAGTGGATAATACTGAGCAGAATAATTCTGACAGTACCCTAATTGATTTTTTAAGTCATCACTGTAGTTTACTTCCTCTGATTTAAGAATTAAATTCGTGATTGGTTGTGGTTAATATATGTTACAATCTACTGATTTTAAAAAGTGGAAAAGAATTGTAATGTAAAATACGAATAACTGGCATCTTTTGAAAGCAGTATGCCTATCAATATAGATATGCTGCGTTGTCTTCCAAGTCATTCATTCTGAGCCTAAGATCTATTTACCCATTCCTAAATGGTGTATTGGGATATTTTCTACTGCTGAATTCTCGTTACCCTTCAGCTTATGATCAACAGTCACATCAAGCCAGATTTGTCAGTGTACTACAAATTCTGCTAATATACTTTAACTCCCACATCATCTGTATACAAAACCAGATGTGAACTGGTCTGGCTGCTTATCAAAACTATAACTAAAAAAATTAAGATATTTTTTAATTGCAACTTTTTCTTTAATTGCCAGGTTTAGTTTTTTTAAAAAAAAACCAACAATACTATTACAAATATTTTTTTAAAACTTGATTTCTCAAAAACCTGAAAACCATACTTGAACCATGAATTAAAATGGGTTGAACAATGTATTACACTGAGATGAATCCAACGGTTTCCTTCTTCTAGAATCAATTTATTTTCAGATAACAGTATTTTTATATATGCGTGAATTTCAAAACATTAAAACTATGGAGGCCATCAATCTCCTACTTTGACTTTCAATGAGTCTAAAACCATATTTAGTATTTTCTAGCACACCCCTCTCAGGGTTGTGACAATTTAAAGCCTTTATTATTGCCATTTTAAAAGCACAACAATATCCAGATGGTGTAGATGCTGCTGCAAATCACTAGTTGGGAAAAGCTCCTAGCATCAAAACAAGATGCATATTTTATTTATTTGATTTTTATCCTGACTTTATAAGTAACTCAAGGCGATGAACATACCTAATACTCATATATATTATACACACACACACACACACACACACACACACATTCCGTCATTCCATGAAGTGCATAAATCTTGACTACTTAAAAGGAGATCTCATCCATGTTTGTGCCTTGATATGAATGTCATGTTTGACTCTGAAGGCACAGCTGGAAGCTAAACCTTTTTCTGACAAGATAGATGGCAATTAGCTTTCATTTAAAATATAACTTCCTCGTATCTCAGCCATCTGAGAATGTTAGCCATATACTTTAGGTAATATAAATCATATTCAATATTTATTGTCTTTAGCAGGTGACAATTTCAAGTTAAATGTGGCTAAGATCAAAAGATAAACATGGTAGAATGTGATTTCTACTTGAATGGGGAGAACAGCATAAAATTGATATAAATTGTATATCCTCCTCCCACAACCCACCCCCTCCCAACCAAAACAGAATAATAAACCTTCTTCTATATTGTAAAGAAAACTATTCATCTTCTTTATATGGCCACATATCTCACAAAAAAGTATCTAGACATGCCCATCTAGTATCCAGAAACTGGGCTGTTTTAAAAGAGCTTTGATTTACTGTAATTCCAGGTTTCTCAAATTATGGGTTAAGAGTAAATTTACAGGTGAGTAGATCTTTTTTTTAAAAAAAATATATCTTGATACAGGCACAGACATAGCAGAAACACTGTCAAAACTCACTTAGGCTTTGTTCCTCATGCTCTCTATGCAAACATTCAGATTAGTTATGGCAATTCAAATGTTTAAAAAGCCCATGATTAAATGATTAAAAGTGGAGTAGTTGTTTCTTGTCCAACCCTAACACATAGGAATTCATTATTTTATTTTAGAATTTTAAATGGTCATAGTACTACAATGTTGACAATGCTTGTATTAATCACATGTTGAAAAAAAAATCTACTTTAAATCCAAACTGCTTGCATACATATGTTTAGCCTAATATTTAATAGGGAACATGTCACATGTTTACTTTTCCAGGGAGTCGATTGTGGTTTTGGAACTGGAAAGGGCATGCCATGTCTCAATACCATTAGCATATAATTTGACACTTTTCCCAACTGTATAGTTACATCACATAGTATATTGCAGATCATTTTAATGTTTCATGTACCTAGCTAGAATCAGTTCTCCCTGAAATAAATCAATATAAAAAGATAACAGACCCATTAATTTATGATGTATAAGGCCTTAAGCTAGCCTTAGTATAGTAAGGCTAGTTTAAGGCCAACTTTACAACATGAGAATACAGGTACTCCTCGACTTACAACATTCATTTAGCAACCGTTCAAAGTTACAACAGCACTGAAAATAATGACTTATAACCATTTTTATAGCCATTGCAGCATCTCAATGGTCACATTATTTACATTCAGATGCTTGACAACTGACTCATATGTATGACGGTTGCAGTGTTCAGGAGTCATTTTGCGACCTTCTGAGAAAATCAATGGAGAACCCAGATTCACTTAACAACCGTGTTATTAATTTAACAACTACAGTGATTAATTTAACAATGTGGGAAGAAAATGGGACAAATTCACTGAACTTTTTAATTTTTCACTTAACAACATAAATTTTAGGCTCTGTTGTGATCATAAGTTGAAGACTACCTGTACTTGAATAAAAAAAAATGCATATATGGCAATTCTATCCATACTCCAAATGCCTCCCAGACCAATATTTATGCAACTCCACTACAAGACCAGGGCTTCATGGATGGGATTTTGTGCAAGTTCTATAAAGCAAGAAAAGTAGCGAAAAAGCAGCTTATAGGAAATATCACCCTTCTCAGATAGAACAGAGCAGGACAATCATTAAGAATTCATTACACATAGTCAGAGCACCTAGAACCACATTCCCTTAGAAAAAAGTCACATATTTTACTTTTTTCTTCTGAAAAAGAAAAGCTACCAGAAAACTGGAAATAAGACTGTGTTTATTAAATATTTTGATAAAACTGGGCACAAAAGTTTATATGCAAAGATTGGAATATTCTACTATATTCAGAGAAAGTGCGAAGACTAGATAAACCAAAGATTTTGAAGTGGGGTAATTTTTTCTTCACCTTCTTCTGCAAACAGAAACACATCCAGAGGAGTTCATCATGGATTGATTTTGGCTTTGAGTTTGTCTTTGCTAAATTAAAGTGCTAGTGTGAGATATCAAGACAGAGGGAAATCAAATGATAAAATGTCAGTACTCAATAAATGGACTTTTCCTCTCAGAAAAGGAAAGGCTTTGATGTTGAGTGATTAACATACAGTGAGTGTTTTTACGTAAACTTTTTAATAATTCAATGAAAAGAAAAACACTGCATGAGCCTATCACAAGAGCTGAGTTTACTCAGATCCTCCACATCAATGAAGAGAGCATGTTCAACAGTGTAGCTATTGACACAAACCAAAAAGAAACTATGGTGCAGAAACATATTTCCATGAAAAATGCAAAGTAATAAAGGCAACTTATATAAACATTTCAGGTATCACTAGTCCCAGATGACACAAGTGAATGTTCCATCCTTATGCATAGTTATGGCAAAGGGTTCAGAACACCACTAAGAGAGAAATTGGTACACTAATTCTTATTAAAACTTTTGTGTAATCATTAGGAAGCTAGAAGAGAACTATAATGAGCCACTTTAAAAACTAAATTCACTTGAAAGCTTCAAAGCTCACTATAGTATTGCCTTTTTTATTTAGAAGTTTTAAAATAAATGTGATTTATTAAGCTGGTTGAATTATATGGCACATAGTGTAGTTAAATAACACAGGATTTCTGAATATGGACATGCATTCTTGGTTATTTTAGAGAAATCAAGCACTTACACTATGGGTAATGTTATTTTTTTAAATGCCATGTAAGGAGTTTAGAGGCAAAACAACCAGTGTAAAGAACATCAGCTAACAGTTTCAGTGGTATCAATTCAATTAAATATATTTTATTAATATAGTAGGCACCAAATAGGTCCACAAGTATTGTTTATTCTGAATTCTGGAAACAGAATCTTTTGGAGAAAAACCATGAACATAATTTGAAAAATGAAGTATTTAGGAATTCTCATTTTTTCCCCCCAAACTCTTATTTATGTTTGGTATCTTATTTTCACACCTTAGAAATATTATCTTAAAAACAATTAAAAGAATGAAAATCAATGTATAGTTTATGAAAAACTCTACAGCTGCACAAATATATCTTGGGCTGTGCTTGTTTTCAAATGAGCAAGATACATCAATGCTGAAAAGCACTTCAGAGCAAAAATCTGATTATTATTGAGAAGTGATTTCATAGTCATGAAAACTTGAGAAAAGAAATAAGCGGCAGTGGCCTTACAGTGAAGTCCCACTGAGTACGGTGGGCCTATCTCCAAAGAAAGTGGTAAAGGACTGTACAGTCTTTCTTCTAATACTGCTAAGAACAAACAGCTTTACTAACAAATAAAGAACCCAAGACATTTTAATTAATTATTATATTTTCTGCATTATAGTTTAACATACATACTTTCCTTGTGTCACCCTTATTTTCATTAAATGTTGATATTTTGTAATATTCAGACAGGAATACATTTTTGGAACAGGTTTTTATAATAAATATCATAAAATAATAGAGATTTACATAATAAATATTCTTTACAATAAAAAAAGTTTTAACAGACCTTTGTCTTAAAAATAGTCAAAATTCAACTTTGTGATTTTACATAAAATATACAAAAAGCACCACAATATGTGGTTAAGGCAATAAAAATAGAAGAGGAAAGATACTCAGCCCGAGGGTGAATTAAACTTTTTAAACCACAGAAATAGAAGGGTTAAGAAAGCAAAGAAGGCTTATACAACTTAAGCTGTATTACTACCTGTATTATTCAGATATGAAGAAACCAACTTTAGTATCAAAATAAAAGTGACAGATAGGCTGTGTGTGTGTGTGTGTGTGTGTGTGTGTGTGTGTGTGTCTGTGTCTGAAAACAACAGAAGCTTATGAAGAAACCTGTAATGATGGCAATGAAGGTAAATATTTAAAATCTGGATTGAAAAAAATAGTGGCCAAGGAATGAGCCAACTGTAGGTGGTTAATTTTTTAAAAAATGGGGGTGGATGGGCAGGAGACTAGGTTTACTAAATTTCAACCCATCTTTTTTCTTTCCTTTCCGCTTTGTTTAATGGAAATAACTGGATTGTGCAGCCTTTTTTTAAAAAGAGGAATGGGAAGAATTGGAAAAAAAAACCACTTGAAAGTAATTAAAGTTAGTTAAAAATAGAACAAAACAAAACAAAACAGCCTCTTTGGAAAGTTGTTTGCAGAATAAAGAACTTCAGAAAAACCCAGTACCCTCCTTACTTCTTTCAGGAGTCTATTACTCAAGAGTCCTGAGATGACTTGCCAAGATGAAAAAAGACACCAGCACATGAGCCACACTTACCGAAGGCCACTGCATTCAGATTTGCCCTTCACTGAGATAAGCAAAGGAAGTGAAAGAGGATCTTGGGCATGATAAGAAAAAAGGGGAATGAAGACAGAAAAGTCAGCCACAATCTGAGAGATGGTGTCTGAGGAACTGAATCTTTCTCTCCACAAATCAGGAGGGCTTGCCTTGACCCCTAGATGGACAACTTTCCAGTTTACAATAAACTGTATTGGAGTTTTTGCACCGGCATCCTGGACGATTCATCCAATCGTAACACCCACGGCACAGTTTTAGGCATCCTTTTGCAGGAGGGTAACAGAGCAGGCAAGGAAGAAACAAAGCCATGGCCCCCATGCATAGGTACCGTGAGCAGCAGTGTGATTGGGAGCATGAGCATGGATTATCCGCATACGAGTCCCCTTCATCATCGTTGGAACAGTGGTAGAAAATTCCTTTGACCAGACACATACAGGTGCTATATTCCACCATGCTTTCTGCTGAGCACAAGCACTGTCTGTTGCAGGCCAAGCAAGAAGGCAAGGCCCTGGGTGCTGTGCATTCTCCACATTTGCACTTCCCACACTGTTCACATATGAACTTATGTTGAGTAGAATCCTCTTTCAAAGGACTTTTCAGGTCATCTACAATCAAAGATGATGGCTTGGGTTGCGTCCTGATTGGCCTTTCAAATCTCTGACCCAGGCCCAGCCTTGATGGTGGTGATCTTAATAGAAGGCCCTGCTCTGAAGAAGCACTGCTATTGCTTCCAGAACTAGCTGCACTTCCAATGCTTGTAGATCTGCTCAAAACAGGAACCCTTGAGTTGTGCTGATGTAGCATATGTCCAGGATGGCTGGGTCTGGTCTCATAATTATTATTCACATTTATTGGTAAGATTTCATGAGTCCTTTCATGTTTTTCTTGTCTTGGAGCTGTTCGTGGAGCAGACTTTTTCACCACAGATGGACCTTCAGTGTATTCATTGTTACCCCTGAGAGTCTTGATCTGGTCCAGTGACAAGATGGCAGTTGCCTGAATATCTCTTTCATAGTCCAACCTCTGCCGGTTGTCCAGAAAAAGCTGCTGATGGACAACTAACGAACTGCTGTTTCCATGCTGACCTGTGGACTCCATCGGTAGTGGTCTCTAATTCTGGCATTCACCAGAAACTGGGCATGCATCTGAAATCCTAAAAGAAAGGGAGAAAATTGGAAAGATGAGTAAGTTCCAAGAAGTTTTTTTGGGGGAAAAATGAAACCTTTTACAACAAGCCACAAAATTGCCCCAATATCCTAATAGAGACAGATAGGGGAATTGCCCTAAGTTAGGCATACCAATATAGATGACAACATAAACAAAATATACTGAAATTATTGTGGTTAAAAATCAAGCATTTTGCTTTTTAGTAAATTGTAATGTGATTTCATTTTTAAGTATAATATTATGGTTTCATTGCATTTGATCAAAAGTAGATTCTTTACTGCCTTACATGCTATTGCAAAAGTAGTATAATTATTTCTGCTCCATTGCCACCAGTTATCAGTAGATTGCAACATAAAACATGCAAAGCCACACCAAGTTTCAGAGCATATGATAAAGATTGATAGAATACATTCAAATTCTAAGCAAAAGGAGACATGAAAATTCTTAATTAGATTTTTGGTAGGCCGTTTTACTTGTCCAAGCCGCATTCTACAACCTTTCTTTATTTTAAACATTGTCAGCTTAACAGTATTTTTAGTTGTAATTCCATGATGCCTCAAGCCAATTACCAATGGGAAAAGTATGTGAATCATTTCTGGGCAGTGTGCATTTATATAATGCATACATTCATACATACATTCAATGTCTAGTGCTTGTTAGAGCAAAACACCAGATGTAAACAACATCCTGTTACACAACATCTTTTTCCAAGGGCCCATGCACATAATGCAGGATGTGAAAGGAGGTAGAAGAAGGAAAGGATATCAGGAAAAGAGATAGGCAAATAACCCACTACATTTATCAAATCTTTGCAAATGTACCTGCAGGTTCTTTGGATAAATAAGACGCTAGAGGGGAAAAAAGACCTGAACATGATGTGTGATGAGAAAAGCATATCATAAATAGACAAGATTCAAAACATTCCTTTTCATATTAATTTTAAAAAGAGAAAGCAAAACTTGAATCTGTATTTACTTTCTTGAGACCACTGTGACAACAGTTAATACAGGTTTTTGAGGAAAGTGCTCTACACAAAGACAATTTTTGACCATGACAATTTTGAGTGAGATACAGCCCATGATTTGGAAAAATATCCCCATAATTTCTCATCTGAGTTAATGTAAAATAAGGTATAAAATAAGGCTGTGCAGCACTTGACCAACATGCCCAAAATGTCACATAAACCTTTAGTATGCAAAGACTCATCATACCTCAGTACGAAAAAGCTGAAAGTCATCTAACTAGTTTAGAGCTGAGAAAAAAATTTGAACTAAATATTCACAATATTCTGCTTTATAAAACAGGCCACATTAATTTTTTTAATATATTTAAGTTGTATGCATCTTATACATCATGTTGTGAGCTGCTTTGAAAGTAAGAAATTGAGCTATAGCATTTGAAACTGTGGTAATATAATTATAAACGGAAGCTTACCATTTAGTAATTATACAAATTAAATAACTGCTTTCCAGCAAAAAATGCTACCCTACTTTCCACATACTTATAGAAACACATTTTTATACACCCACCCAGACACCACAGGCCAGAACACAAATATAATCCACACAATAACCTTTCCATAAAGTTCTAGAAACTATTCAAAAAAATTCTACTGGGATAAAAGAGAAGATTGGAAATTAGATAATTTTTTTCTTAGAACGTTGTGGCTTTCAAAAATCTAATTATGTACAAAAAATAGCAAGATGGAATGTAATTATTTTGTTCCTTCTTTAAAAAGTAGAGTTTATTTGGAAGTGACTTCTGATTGTTCCAGGGTACTTATTTTCTAAAATGTTTTGGATGCTCTAGCCTGATTAAGTTAAAAAAAAAAAAAAGACTACTTCTCTTAGATAGTAAGTTGTACAACTGATATCAAAAATCAGGATTGTTTTTATTAGTTTTAAGTCCCATGCTTTGTGGGACAAAGCCTGACATGTTTCTTGATTTACTTCATTACTAGCCTTCAAAATGGTAGGAAGGTGAACAAGCCCTACAAAAATCTGGGTTTCCGTGGACTTGAGAGAAATGGAGCAGCAACAGGCTGGTGAGGCAGTGGTTGCACTGCCCACATGCAATCTGAGCTCACAGAGAGCAATGAATGCAGAGCTGGATAGAAGAAGAAAAAGTTATGAATGAAAACAAGGGATTTTTTTTCATCCCCCATTTGCAGAGGAGGAGGGGAATCGGCTAAGGTTACTATTACCTCAGGGGGGCGGACTTTCCAATGCTTAAAGCTGCACTGCTGTACCTTTCAAGACAAATATGGAAGATTTGTGTGTGCTAGTTTGAGCATGCAGGGATTCCCCCCTCCCTTTTCCCTTCAATGATTTCTAAGAAGGTGGGGGAGGGTGGGGAAGCCTTTTTATCTCTGCCTGAAACACCATTTCCTTCTTGCAGCCTCCCTGCCTCTTCAGTGACCCACTAGAATCTCGCCCATATTGCAAGGGAAAATCCCTCCACTAGTGACTACGCATAGTTCATGCACACACACACATTTTTAAGATCTGCATTCTTAGAAAAAACTGTTGGGGATTATTTAGTAAACTATTTGAAACAAAAAGTCGACCTTGCTTCTTAGCATAAAATCCAAGGAATTAGTAGGGATTATTATGACATCCACCTGTCCTCAACACACTTAACATCCACAAAACGGCATGTAGCAGAGTAGAGCTCTAATTCCTGTGATGAAAAAAAAAAATCCAATCTCTTTTTTTTTAAGAAGTGTTTTACACTATGTGGCCAACACAGTTACACAATTGTATACTCTCCCTTCTGAACCATATCTGTACTCCTGAGAATAAACAAGACAACTCTGATAGGGCTGGACAGAGCAGTTTCCAGAAGCATATGTGCAAGCATACCATCAGCAACAGTAAAAGCAAGACCCAACCTGGTCAATTTATTTCATCATCCAACAATCAAGCAATCCAAAATGATTTCCTTCCAGGGTCACCTGTGCCAAACGTGACCAAAAGACTACACCAGAGGAGTGGGTTAAAGACCTGGCATTGGCATCAAAGATCTCTAACGGTCAAAAAAGGGCATACTTCTCCACCGAAGCAGTTGGCAGCAAAGGTCGGCAGGTCTTAACTCTTTGATCCAGCCACCCCACTTCTCTTTACAACAACACGCACGCCTATGCCTTGTCCCAAGTCACAAGTTCAGAGCCCAGCAAATCTGGGCTGGAAGACAATCGAAACCGCCTCTTTTTAAGCCAAGGAAATCTAGCCAAACGAGCCCTCCAGCGATCGCAGCGCCACCCTCGGATCCCCTCTTCAAACTGGGCCCACAGAAAACTCCTCTAAGTAGGAAGGGGAAATGCCAGGGCACCTGCTGAATACTTGAGCGCCACACGTGCAAAAGAAAAGGCAGCGAGAATCCATTTTGCAAGCCAAGTTAGGGCAAGAAAGGGGACGGGCACAAACTTACGTTTTTGAATGGCAAATCCACGTGAAGGCACCTCCCTGCTAAGTTAGATCCATAAGGTAGCGTGCGAGGCTCAGAGAAGTCTTAAAGCGCAGGAAAACTCATTCCAGAGGGCAAAACCTTCTCGGCTCCCCCCAACCTTTGCTCTCCAGCTGTCGTTTGATCCGAAAAGCCAAGTTTGTTTCTCTTCGCCTTTTCTCGATTCGCGCCCAGCGGTCGCAAAATCCTGGTCCTCGAACGAAAGGCAGCCCAACTCGTTTGCCCCCCCCAAACAGCTCGCCTTCCCAACACAAACATTCAAGGGGGTGTCTGCTTACACTGCACGCCCCTGCCCTGCAACTAGTTACTCGGGAAATTTTCTCCAAAGAACAAACCCCAAAGAGTCTTCTTCGGTAGTCAGCCGAACTGGTTTTGCAAATTCGAGCTACAGCTTTTCCATCACGCACCGCATCCACACAGTCTGAGAGAGGGTCGCTCCTAAGCGGAAAACGACTTCGGAGGGGGTGGGAAAAAAAAAAAACCAGAAAGGAGTAGCCGCCTTTTCGCGAAGCAAGCTTGCTGCGGCACGTTCGCTTCTCCCTCCTGCCTTCTGCCAAGTTGGAGCTTTTTCTTTTTTTCCCCTTTGGAGGCGCAGATTTTCCCCTCCCAGTCAGGCGCGCGTGTAGCAGATAAGTCCAACCACTTCCTCGACTCTAACCTTCTTTTCACCACATGGTCCTTGGCCCGCAGCTTTCCGCTCCAACCTTAAGCGAAGCAAAGTGCAAGGGAAATGCCTGGGGGAGGGGAGGAAATCTAACATCAATAAAAAATGCAACCAGGAGGCGCAAGACATCCTCGCGGGCATAACAGACGAGGCAAGAAGCAAAGCTACCATGTGCTTCTTGGCGCAGCTTGCTTGACAGGCTGATTGCACCAACAATCTCACTGGGGAGGAGGGAGGAGTAGCCCTAGAGAGTCACTACATCTCCCCCCCCCCCTCTCTCTCACGTCCGACAGACACACACACACGTACGCATACAGTTGGTGTTTGAGCTGAATACCCGTGTAACCCGAAAAGGTACAAAGGTTGCAAAAGGATTTCACGGAGGGAGGACAAATGGCGCACTTTTTTTTTTTTTTTGGCATTCGTTAAATTCCCCCAAAAGAATTACTGGGTCTATATTTGAAACAATTTAGCTGCTTTACTTATTAAGGGTGTTGCAGATCGTTAAACCATCAAAAACTCACGAATGCCAATACTGGTATCCACTTATTTTAAACGTTTCCAAAGCCAGGAGCGTTTAAGCCATAAGTTGGTTGCACCCACTTACAGATACGCGCATTTAATGAATCTTTCTCTCTTACACGCACTCGCACACGCACAGCACCTGAGCTACTTCCGAAAGCCTTGCAAAAAACCTCCAGATCGTGATTACCGAATGCAAAGGTTAGGAGCCGTTCCCTTAAATTAAATCCCACGGGAATAGAATTAAATCCAAGTCGCCTGCTCGGAGAGACGGCAGTTGGTTGACTTTGCCCGCTGCAGCTATCACTTTGCAAGCTCTTTTGTGCGCGAGCGTAGCTGTTTCGGAACGAGCTAAACTCCGCACGGCAACATTTCAGCACTGAGCCCCCACCTCAATCTTTCCTCACGCCTCCAGTGATGTCAATCTGTCACTCAGAGAGCGACCAGAAAAACCCGGAGTGGAGTTTCTTCCCCGCAGCTACACTGTTTCATCTTACTCATTCATGTCTCTGAGCTTCCCAGTTATAATGATTGTTTACCAACCTTCATGTTTTCCCCTTCACGTCACGAAAAATAATACGAGAAGTAATGTTGCTCTGATTTGGATTATTTGCAAACACAACACAATTTTTTAAAATACCTCTCTGAGAATATAATCTTTATGACTATTTTTTTTAATGCTTGTAATGACTTTGTCTTTTTCTTACACGTATAAATTGTGGTTGTACTAAACTCATTCAATGAGTTCATAAAGGACATATGATACTTTTCATTAGTATAATTGTATGCATATTTATGTAGAAGTAAGATTTGTGATGCTTCATAATTTTGCAATCTTAATTCTGATACACAGATCTAGTAGTCATTTTTAATAAATCTGGAATAAAATATTTAATGCTATATTTGTAGTATTTGCTTGTAATCTGCATTTGTAGATTACAGACTTTTTCAGAGGATTGATGCATGTACTTGTTTCATTTATGCATGTTCTTAATTGTTATATACAATCCAAAATAGAAATAGTATTTTAAAAAGTAGAATCCCCAATTAAATTTTATTAAGCTATTATCATTGTATGGTACCCTTGGAGTCTAGTCTGTCTATCAGATTTTCCCAAATTCATGTGCTAAACAAACAAGTTTCTGTGAGGGCTCTCTTGAATGAGATTGCTTTGTATTTATTTATATAGCTTGTAATAACAATTCTCGAAATAGTCCGGGGGGGGGGGAGGGGAAAGAAGAGCTAAAAGAAATTAAAAAGGAACAAAATAACAAAACAGCATAAATAATAAAGGCTGTAAAAGGTTAAAAAAATAACATACAAAAAGTCTGAAAAAAAATAGTAAAAAGTTTGGAAATTCATGTCTGGGTAGGACACCTTGTTAGTGTCATGATCTAAATGTAAACATCCTCCTTTCAGCTCCCCATGTGTGTGGTCAAATGGGAAATTTTAGCAAGGCAATGGGAGAAGGTTATTTGCATTGCTGCCCTGACAATCTTCTCTTCCTCTTCCTCATCCTATAGCAAGAACAACTCAACCATTTTCAAGACCGCCATGTCCAGCTCCGGTCAATCATTTTGCAAGGCTCCCTTGCTGAATATAATATAGACCATATTTTGTCTATCACCAATCCTCATGTTAAAGTATTTTCTCCTATTTTTTTTTCTCTTTCCTCTACCAAGGGAAAGAGAAGAAACATTTTCTGAAAGTTTGTAAACAGATTATCCAAAGTCTGAATGAAAATTTGCTTGTGAATTATTTTGAATTATTTTATTTCTGCTTTCTGGAGACAGCTAAAGTTGGCACGTTTCTCAGGATGTTTGGGTGTTGATGCTAGTACTTTTTGGAGTTCATATCTAATCTATTATTTGTGATCATGTCTTTATGTGATCTTCTGAGAGTTTTCTTATGATTGTAACAAGATATAAACTTGATATAAATTTAAATCATTAACATATTATTCAAAGTTTAGCTTGATGTAAAACATGGTACAGTACAAAATCTTATATAAAATGCTATTGTTAAGTATATATAATGGTTGTCAAGGTAATGACAACCAGCTGATGTAATGTATGATGTATGATGTAATGTTGGGAATGACTCAGCAGGGTCTATGGCTCTTTAAGAGCAAGCAGGGTCTGTATGTCTTTAAGAGCTTAGTACCGTGGTAGCGAACCTATGGCACAGCTGCCACAGGTGGCATGCAGAGCCCTCTCTTTGGGCACGCGCACCATCGCCCCAGTCCTAGGCCTTCAGCTGGGTTTTATAAAACCTTTTCGCTTTAGGCCTTCACCGCCATGTGCAAAAAAAAAAGGTTCAATCAATCAATCAATCTTTTCTCACGGAAAAAAAAGATCTCGCAAAGTTGGAATTGATTGATTGAACTTTTTAGTTCCACCCAGTCTTCCGTTACCACCGCAGCCATGCCCACCATATGGGCCATGCCCACCCAATTGGCCAAACCCACCCAATGGGCCATGCCCAATCGGCACCCGTTGATACATAAATGGGTTTTTGGTTACAGTTTGGGCACTCAGTCTCTAAAAGGTTCGCCATCACTGGCTTAGTATAAAAGGGAAGGCTCCAGATGTGTGCTCTCTCTTCTGTTTCCTGCTGTAACTGCTGTGTTACAGCCTGCTGTATTAGCAAGTATATGTATATTGTTCCTGGTGTATGATATTGTAGATAGTGTAATATAAACCACCATTTGATATAGACCACTGTTTACTGTGTTTACTCCTGGATTATCTCTGTGCAATAAGACTGTGCATGCTCTGACAATGGTGATGTGGGATGATTGTATAAGTTATACCAAGTTTCTTTCTTCATATGTTCTTGATAGAATATCTTCCTTTGAAAAAAAAATGATAGCAAGCATGTTAGAGAATTTTAATTTCTCTGTTGGTGAAAAAATAAATCAGAAGCTCTCAAAGTTGACTGCATTTAGCTGATTCAAAATATAACTTCTTTATATTTATATAAAAATATTTACAATACCATACATTCTTCTTTACAGCAACATAGCACAAATGAAGACTTCTTACAGAGAAGAGATACAGATACAAACCTGAGACTGGAAATCCAGCTCCTAACTCAATACCTTTTTTTGCACAGACTCAGTAGCACTTTCTCCACATTGGCTGACTGAGTTACCACATGACTCTTCCTTTTCATGAATATTCCAACAAAGCACAACCTTGAAAACATCTCAAAGTGCTTTAGTTTTTAAGCACATGTTTTCAAGACATTTAGATGTATCATTGTGTCATTTAAGATGCATTGTGTCATCCTGAATTGCAAAAATTGGTGAACATAGTTGAGGACTGCAAATTTTAATATACCTTGATATATTGTGTAAATGGTGAAATG